CCCCAAAACCCCAAAACCCCAAAACCCCAAAACCCCTATTGCTAAAATATCTAGATTGATAAAATAAACAAAATGATCAATTTTAGTGTTTAAATGCTATAGATCAGTTAATATATATAAATATATATTAGTCAAATCATTTTATCAAGGTATGGAAAATAGCTCCATTTTTAATTTGAAATTAAAGAAATATCCCTGTGAGAATAAGTGTAGAGAGGAAGCTATCTACTATTGCTCTAAGAAATGCAATGGACAGCATTATTACTGTCAAAATTGCGCTAAAGAAGTACACCATGATCATACACCTTATGAAAGAGAAAGAGTTTGTGACCAATTAATTTAGAAGGAGAAGGCTGAGCTTTAGGGAAGAATTGATGAGCTTGAATCTTGTCTATTAATGTAGAAACCTGAGGTAATAGTGCTAAGCAACTTCTTTGGAAAAGTTAAATTAAAAATAGATGGGTAGCAGTCGCAAATAATTCAAAGATCAGGCTAAAATAATATTGATCAATAAATGAGTCTGAGCGAACAAGGAAGATAAATTGTAAAATTGAAGCAAAAAATAGATCTCTACTTCATCTAATTAAGCTACTACCAGGAAGAGTTAGGTGTAGTAGAAATAAATTATCTCATTTATTCATTGGGTCAAAAAATCAGAGATCGCTTGGTGAGACTAAGAGAATATAAAGTATGGACCTATGAAGACATTTATCGAGCATTCTCAGATATCATAATGCTTGATTTTGAAGATTCAGATTTGATTTAGGAGCAGAGTCAATTCGATTAAAAAACATGGAATATATACTACTCATTCAAATTTAAAGCACAAAATAGAAAATTTGAAGATTAAGAGCGAACAATTTTATAGCAACAAAAAAGGATTCAAAATTTAGAAAATGAAAATAGAAAGCTTGAGTACTTAGAAAATAAAAGTTAACTTTTAGAGGACACATTGTAGGAACTTAAACAGGTTATTTTGGATTAATATAGAGCTAATTCGTGAGCTAAGGCTTAATGATATGAAGTTATCGTTATAAATATTAGCTGTTATTATATCAATTTTTTTACTTTTACGCTATTTCAAAACATCTGAGAATACTGAAATTTTTGAGTAAGGGGTTTTGGGGTTTTGGGGTTTTGGGGTTTTGGGGTTTTGGGG